CAAATGTTTGGACTAGAATAAATGATTGGGCCTTAAGGTAAGACCATGTAGAGGTTTGGGCCCAATTTGGAAAATAGGGCCATATGTTGGGCTTTGGTCCATTGTTTGACTTTTGGGCCTTTGGAGTGTGAGCTTGGGCCTTGGGCTTAAGTCAAGCTAGGTTGGGGGTAAAGTAGTCTTTTTACCCCAAGCATGGACTTATGGTTATGTATTGGAACCCAATTATTAATTAGGTGTCGTTTTGATGTTGACAGTTCGGGAATCTGTCATCCAACAGCTAGAGTTTATCCGCGGGGCTTCAGCAGTGCGAGGTGAGTTACCTTCCCGATAGAAGTGGGTCTAAGGCACCAAGGCCAACCCACTAGTAGGAGTTTGTAGTTAGATGATTGTATGTGTGATAATTGTCTGGTATGCCACTTTCTGTTATGTTTTATGTGCTAGTATGCTATGATATTGTGTGGTAGTGGTAGGGGTGAAATAGACCTCGTATCCGGTCGGACAGACTGAAGGGGAGGCCATCACCTAGATATGCTCGGCAATATCCGGGTGGAAGGACCGAAGGGGAGGCCAGCACCCAGATATGCTCGGCAGTATCCGGTCGGACGAACCAAAAGGGAGGCCAGCACCCATATATGTTGGGCAGTATCCGGTCGGACAGACCGAAGGGGAGACCATCACCCAGATATGCTCGGCAGTATCCCGTCAGACAGACCGAAGGGGAGGTCAACACCCAGATATGTTCGGCAGTAGCCGATCAGACGGACCGAAGGGGAGACCAACACTCAGATATGCTTGGCAGTATCCGGTCAGACGGACCGAAGAGGAGGCCATCATCCAGATATGCTCGGCAGTATCCGGTTCAGGAAGTGTTAATATGGATCATGATACTGTTTATCGTTTTTTTTAAATCATATATATTATGTGGCTATAAACATAAAAATAAATAAATAAATAAAAAATAAAAAAAAAGGAGAAAGTGTTGCCAATGAGAGAAACGATAATGGTGATTTTATTTGACCGAATAATTCGTAGTAGTTAAGCCTTGAAAATCTTTTCCATTTCACAAAATATAGGATTCCTAGGGAATTAAATTAAATACTCATATATTGTAAAATAGTCCTTATTTATAGCTCTTTATTTATTTATTTATATTGATATTCTTTTTCTTTAGAAAATTCAGTTTTAAGTCTTTTTGTTATGGGATAATGACTTAAAAGAGTAACATATTATTCGATTCGTACACATTTGGTCACTGAGTTTTTTTTTCGTCCACATTTACCCCTTAAACTTGTTAAACTGTACACATTTAGTCCTTATGACCTGTTACTTCAGGTTAGCCAGGAAAAATGACTTGATAGGGTAATATATTTTTCATTTTGTACACATTTAGTCCTTAATATTTTTGTACATATTTAGTCCTTAACATTTTTTTTTGTTTCAAAATAAGTCCTTTTTTTGTACTCATTCAGTACTTATGAATGATTTCTTTAGGTTTTTTTCACGACATCTTACGTGAGACAATCATTGATGAGGTGCTTGGGGTTGTTGATGCTTATGTCCAATGCGATCTCGACTGCTTGGAGTTTGATCAAAATATATTACCCTATTAAGTCATTTTTACCGGGTAACTTGGAGTAGCCGGTCATAAGGACTGAATGTATACAGTTTAACAAGTTGAAGGGGTAAATGTGGACGAAAAAAAAAAACTCAGTGATCAAATGTGTAGAAATCGAAAAATATATTAGTCTTTTAAGTCATTATCCTTTTGTTATATATTGGAATTAAAAATATATTACCCTTTAGCGAATTAAAAATCATCATTTTTCATATATATATATATATATATATATATATATATATATATATATATATATATATAACAAAATCAATAGAAAACATATAAACCTAAAAAGCCCTAATAACCCTATAAATCTATAAAAAAAACAAGGTTAATGTCATAAAACCCCTCAAGTTTTTAGGGTTTTGTCGGTTTTGTCCGAAGTTAAATTTTATATCCGTTTTTATCCTCACATTTTCCAACAAATTATCGGTTTTACCCTTTTACAGGTGATAACTGGTTTCCAGGTTACTATTATATTAACTTCGCAAAAAACCTCTTAAGTTTAAAGTTTTTTATTTTATTTTAATTTTTTATAATTTTTTTTACGTTTTAACACTTAAGTTTATAATTTTTTTTACAGTTTTACACTAAGTATGTTTTTTTATTTTATACGTATTCATATAGTACAATCGTATTTATATACAAAAAAGTTTAACTAAATTTTGTATTTATGTTTTTTTAATGTTATTTCCGTATATATATATATATATATATATATATATATAATATATATATATATATATATATATATATATATATATATATATGGCTTTTTGGTTAAACCGTTTAAAATGTAAAAAAAATACAAATTAATATGTTTTTAGAACTACAAATACATATTTCTATGAATTTAAAAATATACATATCAATAAATGATTTGTTCAATCATAAATGTGTTTATATATCCTATATATATATATATATATATATATATATATATATATATATCCAATTTTTTTCCAGCGAAATGGTATAAAAAGTTGCGATTTTTAGCACTATAAAGTCAAAAAAAAAAACAAAAATTAGATTTCTCAAAGTATTTTTTTATGTATTTCTAGTGATTTTCTAACTTTTAGGGTTTCCAAAGGTGTAAACATTTTATATCGATTTTTCCCGTGTGTGTGTGTGTGTATATATTATATATCTATATATATATATATATATATATATATATATATATATATATATATATATATATATATATATATACTAGCAGGATACCCGCGCGATGCAGCGGACGGTAAAGAGGGACGGTGAATTGCTTCCTTTTGCCAACGATTTTCGGATTATTGGTTTTAGTTAGGGTTTGGCTTTAGGGTTTATGGCTAATGATTTTCGGTTTATGATTTTAGGATCTGAGTGTGATGTTTAAGATTTGCGTAGTTATTCACTCATTTGTAACTAATGAGTTACTTTATATAATGCTTAATAGCAAATTAGTATTATTTATCGCAATAATTTCTAAGCGGCCATTAATTTCTTTTTGGTGGACATCGAATAGTTACTTTTGAAGCATGTGACTTTTTTTTGATTAAAAATGAGATTATTGTCCATGTTTTAGTGTGTACACAAAATAGTACTTTCTCAATCAAAATTTGATGAAAATAACAAAAAAGAAAGTCTACACAATTTATTTGGAATTAACTCTTCATACCTCAAAGAATATTTGAATTGTATTATTATAAGAAAGGTTAAAGATTACAAATCGTATTAAAATTTTAATTACACGTTACATTTATAAAGAAATGGTAAGGAATGGAAACATAACAATAAGATAGAAATTTTATATTTATTTATTTATTTGTTTTATAAAAAAAAAGATATAATAAATTGATTTACCAACCTATTTTTTTCTAGTATACCTCACACTTTGTTATACAACTTTACAACCTACGTCCTTCATTTAATCGTCATATTATAACTATTTTTCTTTTTTATTAGTTACAGATAAAAGTAAATAAAAATGATCAATTTTAATAAAAAATCTACTTTATGAATAAAATAGGATTAACTGAATATTTTTTTAATGAACCTATATTTTTTGTTTTTAGGTACATTAACCTAGATTATTTTTAGGTACATTTTGTTATACAACTTTAATCAGCTTTTTATTCGTATATTATCATTTAAATTTGAAGTTCATAAAAAGTTTACTATCAATTTAATATTTTCTTTTTTCTAGATCTCCTTAAAAACTTAAACAATATTAAGAAGTTAAGAAATCTAAACTATAACTACGTCTACTTCATATTTCATGTCTTTGTTATACATATCCCGAAAAACAATGATTTTATTAGTTAATGCTTTTTATTTTGATTCCCTATAATAACTTAAAGCATATGGTATGGACAACTTGAAGTGGTGTTATGACAAGAAGCAACAAGAAGAGAGGGTGGTGTTCATGGTGTTATAACACCATGTTAAGAGGAGAGAGATGGAGAGAGAGAATTTGGACAACCAATAGAAAATCACGTTGCATCTAGTCATGGCCACAACAAGAAGCAACACAACTAGATACAACAAGAAGGGGGGGTGGTGTTGATGCTTCTTAACGGCGTTGAGGATGCTCCACCTCAGCAACAACGAGATGCAACATGACCCATACCTTATACTCTTATGATCATCAACGTAGTTATTATACATGAATGCAAAAACTTGTTCTCCACTGTTTTCTATCAAATGTGTTGTTACTATATTATTATTCACATTTCTTTCAGCTTTTTTTATACAAAAATAGTATTCAATAGTATATATTAAAAAATTCTTCATTTTATTAAATATAATAAACCATTATCATGTGTCCTTATACACATTTTCTAGATAATAATTATGAAATATACATGAAAAAGATAAAAATATTATAACTTATAAATATACTACTAAACATTTCACTTGTAAGGTATACATATAAGCCGCAAATGAATAAATTTATTAAAATGGTTACTATACATTTTAAAATAGTTACCTTGATAAAAATATTACAATTATTTAAGTGATTTATATTTTTTAAATGACAAACCAAATATTAAATAAATATAAAATACATCACAATAATACATTAATATAAAATGGAATATAAATACTCTTCAGAAAAATTCTCTCACCACAAAACCTTTACGAATCAAGTTTTTGTTAAGTAAATATAAATAAAAGCAAGTAATACATTGAAATGCATTATATACACAAACTCACAGTAATCAAACAGAAAACAATAAAATAATTGCTCAAAATCTATACATATAAAACCAATAGAAACAATACTTAAAAATAAGATCTAATCTGTAACAATAAATAAAGGGATTGAGAATCGTACAAAATCTAAAAAAACAATATAAAGCCAAATTAAAAATGAAAAAAAATCAACTAATCTATAACAAAGAATCCGTAAGCAAAATGTGTTATGACAAAGAAACATAAATTCCAGATCTACCCATTTGAGTTCGTATCTTCCCACCACATTTGATCCGGTCCTCTGTTTTCTCCTAGAATCTACAACTAAACAAAAATACAATAACAATATGTAAACATTCACATAAACACAGGTAGACAGAGTTTAGAGAGAGATATTGATGGTGGTTGTTTAATTTTTTCAGATCGACGCAGGTACAAGGTTTATATATATCAAGCAACAGCGGTGGTGGGTAAGTAGTGGTATGGATAACATTGGTTGTATCATTTTAGTTCAAATGACACAACAGTATGAAAAGAGTACGTTAAGCTTTTCAATCAAATATATATGTTAGATCCCATATATACATTTGATGCAATAAAAGCTTCAGATTTAATGGATAAATGAAAATAGGTACCAAAATTCTCACAGCTTATTAAAACAGACACCCCTGGTCATGCATAATTGTTTTTCCTCTTAGTCAGCTATTACTTTATATCTGGAATAACTGTGACATTTCAAAGCATTCAAATGATTCACACCAACAATTCATTAAGAAAAAAAAAAGTGAATAAGATGAGGATATAGAAACACAAAAGAAAAGAAGAGTCACCTCATCGATTGGTGGTTGAATGGGGCGAAGTTGGTGCCGATGTTAGGTGGTCGAATACAGGAAAACCTAAAACTTGTTTGAATCTGTCCTTGTACTATTCAATCGACCAAATTAGGAAATCAAACCATTTGCAGGTTTTGTTTAAGAGGTTAGGGATTAAAATCATTATCAAGTTATATTTAGGGGTTGAAATCGTTGTTACCTTGAATATATAAATGCAGTAAAACGAAAAAAAGGCTCCCTGTTGAGGTTGGAACTTGAACTCGTGGGTTGTCTCGGTGTCTCCTATATGCACAACATCAAGATTGAGAGTTGGTTTTAGGGGTTGAAATAGAGATAGAGAGGGAGGTTTGGGTATCGGAATCAACACTTACCTTGAATCAACCCATTTTGATGACCACTCCTCATGAAAAGATACCAACAAAAACCGAGAACAGCAAATAGGAGGCTACAATGAAACATACCATTCCTCGTGTTCCTTATCGAAAACAGATCGGAAACCAAGGGTTTCATTAGAAATGGTGAGCACCAAGGAAGTCTGATATGTCTTGCTGAAAATAACAATGAAAGTTTAGAGGTTTTGGGATTGTTTTTGAAGAGTGGTGGTTTGAGAATGGTGGCTGATGATGGCTATGATTTGATTATGTATTCGTAAATTAAGAGAGATTGAGAAGGTGGGTGATCGTGTAGTGGCGGTGGTGGCAAAATATGATTGTAACAGAGGATGAGTGTGGTGATGGAGCTGTGAGTGAGGGTTTAGAGAGAAAAAGTGGGGGAAAGAGGTATAGTGGGAGGTTTATGTTAGTGTGTGGGAAACCAAGAGACGCAATGAAAGGGACGCACTCGGAAACCAATATTACTTGTGTTTGTATTTCAAAAGCAGTCTTTTTATTGGTCTAAATCTATTCACTTGGATCCATAAAGGTTAAGATTAGTTAAGATGAAAATCAAAGGTCAACATGTTATTTCCTTGTTTTTAAGACTTTGTCTTAAAATTATGTAGGATGGATGTATTATAAAGTAGTAATATATATATATATATATATATATATATATATATATATATATATATATATTGTAACATCGTAAAATTTAGAACAAAAAATTTCAATTTTAGTTAAGTAATTATGAAAACCATTATTATGAAAACATCATTAGTGTCATGTCATATCATAAACAAAGCAGTATGTAAAACATCCAATCATGTCATGAAAGATAATATCAGAGTACAACTCCCAAAGATCTAGTCATGTGGAAAATCATAGTGTGATGCGTTGCTATCATGTCGGCTCCTTTCCTATCGAAGAAGAAGTACGTGAAACCAAAACTGTAAACCGTAAGCACGAAGCTTAGTGAGTTCCCCCATTATACCACATAACCACATACTGTCAGACATATCTGGGTGCCCAACCTACCCCTTCGGTCTAATCTGACCGGACACTGTCGAGTATATCTGGATGCTCGACCTACCCCTTCGGTTTGTCCGACCGGATACTGCCGAGCATATCTGGGTGCTGGCATACCCATTTGGTATGTCCGACCGGATACTGTCGAGCATATATGGGTGCTAGCCTCCCCTTCGGTCTTACCAACCGGATATTGCCAAGCATATATGGGTGCTGGCCTCCTCTTCGGTTTGTCCGATCGGATACGGGGTCTATTTCGCCCCTACCACTACCACACAATATCATAGCATACTAGCACATAAAACATAACAGATTGTGGCATACTAGACAATTATCACACAGACAATTATCTAACTATAAACAACTACTAGTGGGCCGACCTTGGTGCCTTAAACCCACTGCTACCGGGAAGATAACTCACCTCAAAAGTTGAACATAACTGATATGGCCCGACTCCGAATCTCAGCTCCCTACTCAATGCCTACATTCACTAAGAGATCAATCCATCAAAATCTCACCGTACCCAAAATACCCTTAAAGTCAAACTTGGTCAACCATGGTCAAAGTCAACATTAACAGTCAAGGTCAACAGTCCATGGTGACCCAACTCGTCGAGTACAGCTACTGACTTGTTGAGTTCCTTCAGAACTCGGAAAACCATGAAAGACTTGAGTTAACTCGTCGAGTTGTCAAAACAACTCATCGAGTCCATACAGTATCCAGAAAGCGGGAAAAACCGAACTAACTCGTCAAGTTGGCAGAGCAACTCGTCGAGTTTTACCTGTCTTAACATATTCAGCCCATTCCAGTCGAATCCAAGGCCCCAAACTATAGATCTGGTCCCTTAGGATTGAAATACCATGTAAAGTTGCTAACTTTACGTCCATACGTAGCATCAAAAGGCTAAAAACACTAAAACTAAGCTTTATAAGGGATCTAGGGCATGGAGGAGGGCCAAGACATGATAAAGTTGGCAACTTTAAGTCCCAAGAGGCCCTAAAATGTCTAGATCTGAAGCCATAGCTTCATGACATGCTCAGTTCCCGAAATTTACTCAATATGAACCAAGAATGACAAAATAGTTCCATAGATGAAGATCTAAGTAATAGAAAGCCAATGTATCGACTTTATACCTCAAAATGAATGCCAAAACAGAGTAAACACCGTATCTATAGCCTCTCCCTTCAACTATTCACCCTTCTCTTCAAGCTTCTTCAAATAAACACCAAGAAAGCAGTCTTACAACTCTCACACACTCAAAATGATAGAAAGGGACGAACTAGGGTTTTCATTAGTGTGAGGGAACGATGAGGGAGGCTAAAATAAAACAATAAGGTCTTTAAATATGGTGCAGAACCTTGAAAATTAGGGTTGATTTCTGCCAGCCAACTCGTCGAGTTGAGGCCTCCAACTTGTCGAGTAGGTTTCTCAAATTACACGGTCCATATCGTCTCTACTCGACGAGTTGGTGATTCCAAGTCGTCGAGTTTCTCTATAATAATGAGTAGACTATAAGTTAATTTCATACCAGGAACCAGGTGTTACAATTCTCCCCTACTTGTCTCAGACTTCGTCCTTGAAGTCCGCTGCCTCAAATAATCCTGGATAATGCTCATTCATCTCCTCTTCGAGCTCCCATGTCCACTCCGACCCCTTTGTGGTGCAGCCACTGCACCTTTACTAGCTTCACAACCTTGTTCCTCAAGGTTTTTGCCTTCCAGTCTAAGATCGCCACTGGTCTCCCAATGTAGTTCAGGCGGTCGTCCACCTGAATATCCTCTAAAGGCACGGCTGCGGAATTGTCTACCAAGCACTTCCACAGCTGAGAGACATGAAAGGTGCTATGGATGTGACTAAGCTCGTCTGGCAGATCCAGTCGATATTTAACCTGGCCCACCCGGGCCAATACCCTGAATGGACCGATGTACCTGGGGCCCAGCTTGCCCCGCTTCCTGAACCGGATGACACTTTTCCAAGGTAAAACCTTGAGGAGAACCATATCTCCCACCTGGAACTCTAAATTCGATCGGCGCTTGTCGGCATAGCTTTTCTGCCAACTCTGCGTTGTCTATAGCCTGCTCCGCACCTGCTGTATCATCTTGGTGGTTTTGAGTACCACCTCGGTACTCCCCATGACCCGCTGACCGACCTCGCCCCAACAGATCTGGGTCCTGCACTTCCTCCCGTAGAGCATATCAAAAGGAGGTCAATCAATGCTAGCGTGATAACTGTTGTTATACGAAAATTCCGCTAACGGAAGATACGTATCCCAACTCCCACCGAAATCCAATACACACGCACGCATCATATCCTCTAGGGTCTGAATTGTCCACTTGCTCTGCCCATCGGTCTGTGGATGGAAAGCCGTACTGAAATGGAGACGAGTTCCCATCTCGTCGTGAAACCGCTTCCAAAATCTGGAAATAAAGCGGACATCTCAGTCTAATACAACCGAAACCGACACCCCATGTCGTGCCACCACTTCTTGGACGTAAATCTCAGCTGATATACTCTCCTGGATCAGGATGAAATGTGCACTCTTGGTCAACTGATCCATGATGACCCAAATCGAATCCATTCCACGTGCGGTCATGGGAAGCTTTGTGATGAAATCCATAGTGATGTCTTCCCATTTCCACACAGGAATCTCCAACGGCTGTGTCTTGCCGTGGGGTCGCTGATGCTCGGCCTCGACTTTTCTACAAGTCAAGCACCTCTCCACGAACCATGCTATGTCCCACTTCAAGCAGGGCCACCAATAGTCTGGGCATAGATCCCGGTACATCTTCGTTGCCCCGGGATGGATGGAGAATCTCGACTTGTGAGCCTCCTCCATCAGAACCTGGTGTACACCGCCCCAATACGGAACCCAGACTCTCTGGTGCAAGGTCAATAATCCCCGGCTGTCGTAATCAAATGATGCCGCCTGACCTATGATCCCCTTACACTTCTGACGCTCTTCCTTCATCCCCTCAACCTGAGCCTCCCGAATCCGTTCCAGCAACAGAGTAATCACTGTCATCCTCAAGCATATATCCCGAGTCGGAGTCGCGGCCGCCTTGTGGCTGAGAGCATCGGCCACCACATTGGCCTTCCCCGGGTGATAAAGGATCTCGCAGTCGTAATCCTTCACTACATCCAACCAACGTCGCTGCCTCATATTCAGATTCGGCTGATCCATCAGGTACCTCAAGCTCTTGTGGTCCGTGTAAATGGTATATCATACCCCATAGAGGTAGTGTCGCCAAATCTTGAGGGAAAAAGCAACTGTCCCCAACTCCAGATCGTGTGTCGGGTAATTCACCTCGTGAGGCTTCAACTGCCTCGAGGCGTAAGCAATGACGCGCCCTCTCTACATCAACACTATGCCTAAACCCAAGATAGACGCGTCACAATACTCTACAAAATCCTCAATACCCTCTGGCAGGGTTAATATCGGTGCCTCGCACAACTTCTTCCTGAAAGTCTCGAAAGTTGCCTGCTACTCAGGCCCCCAACGGAATATCACCGAATTCTTGGTCAGTGGGGTCAATGGAACAACAATCTTGGATAAATCCTGGATGACTCTCCGATAGTAACCCGCTAAACCAAGAAAACTATGAATCTCTGATGGAGACTTCGGAACCTTTCATCTCATCACTGCCTCTACCTTGGCCGGATCGACCAGAATACCGTTCTGGTTGACAAGGTGCCCCAGAAACTACACCTCACACAACCAAAACTCGCACTTGGAGAACTTTGCGAAAAGTCTCTCCCTCCTCAAGGTCTCCAGTACCTCCCTCAAGTGCTCCTCGTGCTGCTCCTGCATCTTGGAATAAACCACGATATCATCAATAAAGACTTGTTAGGGTGCAAAGTCACTCTTGGATGTAGTGTTTTAGGCTTACCCTCTTGTATGTGTAAATGGGTTGAGTCTTTCCTATAAATAGGAAGTGAGTGACTCCCATTATGTAAGGAATCATTTGGAGTGTTAGACTAGAGAGAGAAACTTTGTACAAACCCATTTGTATATTCTTTCTAGATCTAATATGAGCTTACACAGATTTATTTACTCCTTGTGTTCTTGAGATTACATGATGATTCACTAGATCTTTTCTTATTCCGCACATGTCATCATAATCAACACAAATACAATTGGTATCAGAGCGGGTGTTCTTGATTAGATCAAGAATTGATCCATGGTGGCAATCTTGATTTGATGATTCTTCATGTTCTTATTGAACTTCGTGTTTTAAGAGTGTTTTGTGTTCTAGAAATCGAATTTTTCCTTGATTTGATCCATAATTCGATTTTCTCTCTCTAGAATACTTGTTTGTACCACTTTCTCTCACTAGAATTTGGTTCATATTCACTTTCTCTCTCTAGAGATCTCCTTGATTTTCACTTTCTCGCTCTAGAAATCTTCAAGTTTTTGTGATCATGGTGAATTTGCCTTACAATTCTTGGATTGTGATCGTTGAAGATATCAAATACAAAGTCAATAAAGATCAATATTATGGGTTGGTGTTAAACAA